GAAACCAAGAACACTCCTGGTTTAATGACTCTGTACCAGCAGTGGAAACCCTGGCTGACTCAGGTCCATCCTTATGTTCCCCCTCCTGACCCTCCTCACCTAACATTATTCTATGACAAACATGACTCAGTCTGGTACAAGGAAGCCTTCCAAAACCAACTAGAAGGACAGCAATGGTGTGTTCAAACAACAGATATTTATGCTGCACCAGAAGGTGTGGCCGCGGCAGTCAACTTAACCCAGCAACAATTGGCATGGTATATGATGGGAGACGAGGCGGTACCTCATGTCTCTCTCGCTTTACATCCGGCCCATCAGGCAAAAGAGCTAGGAGGAATGGTTAAACGTTCCATAGCAACCACTGATTGGCGTTCGACTCCTCTTCCACAAGTGTCATACTCAGACTCAACTCAGACGTTTAAAATCGCTGCGGTTTGTACTAATATGACACATTTACAACAGGAAACTATTAGCAGATCTCATGGCCGTGAACGAACTGACCACCCTGATGCTCTGACAATGTTAGACTCGCTTCCAGGCTCCCTGTGGTCGACGGGCCCCACCGATGTTGGGTTGGTGTCCATCCCACCGGTGACTTTTCACCTAAAAGATCATGCTCCCCTATGGGTTCCACAATACCCACACAAACCCTATGCAGAAGACGGGATAGCCGACACCATCGGTGGTCTGTTGCAAGCAGGGGTGTTGGAGCCATCTGTGTCTGAGTGGAACACTCTGATTTTACCTGTAGAAAAGAAAAATACTGGTAAATATCGAATGGTTCATGACCTGCGTCGTATAAACGCCCTACTTAACACAGACTCACTTCCCGTCCCTAACCCATATATGGCTCTGACAAACCTACCATCTTCACATGCATGGTTCACCTGCATAGACTTGGCAAACACATTCTTTTGTCTTCCACTTCATGAATCTCTGAGGAACATTTTCTCTTTCACATTCAGAGGACAGCAATACCGATATACTCGGTTGCCCCAAGGGTTCACCCTGTCCCCTGGACTATTCAACCAATGTTTGCGTCAGCTCCTGGACACATGCCCCCTGTGTGTGTGTGTGTGTGTGTGTGTGTGTGTGTGTGTGTATGTGTGTGTGTGTGTGTGTGTGTGTGTGTGTGTGTGTGTGTGTGTGTGTGTGTGTTTGCGTGCGTGCGTGCGTGCGTGTGTGTGTGAACCTATGGTATGAGTTGTTTCTGCCAGTTGAATCTCTTGGAACCCGCTCCAGTTCTGCAGCTGTATCCTAGCAGTTTCTTCCGAAATGGGTAGGTAAATAACCATGTTTTTCGGGGGTCGTACAGCTTCTTGTGTTTCTCAACTTCCATAATTAATTTAAAGTCATCCATCTTAACTGCTTGCCTCAGACTTGCGGCCTCTCTGTCCTGTTTGCTCCGGTGAAAAGACACCCAAAACCACACACCCCTTCACGTGGTCACACACGCACACAAGTTCGACGTGTGTGTGTGTTCGTGTGGTTTTTCTGCAGTGTGATTACGAACACATTTGACTATTGCGGAAATTTATTTTGAAATGCTTTATTTTGTTAACTTTACCAGCCTGCCTCTTATGTCTAGGTTTGACTTCCTGCCAGAATTGACGCGATTCACCCGCGGCTCGCGAAAAAAATAGAGCCGACGCCGAAATGATCGCTGCACAGCACGGGCTGGAGCGCTGGCGCGAGGCGATTCGCTGCGCTTCGGCAGCCCATGTGGTCTATAGAACAGCTTAACAAGGGCGCCGAATGAAGGCGGTCCCATTTTCGCGGCGCTTCGCAGTGCTTCCGCGGCTGGTGTGTCCCCGGCGTAGAAGATTGAGAAAAAAATTCACCCCCCTCTGAGTTGTCATGAGTGTAAACTAGATAATTTAAACAAAAAACATATTCTGGTACCAGGCTGTAAACATGTCTATTTCTGCTGTGAAATTGGTATTTTTAGCATGGGAGTCAATGAGGATTTGCTCGCTTTTGACACCAGCCCCCAGCGGATGAGGGTGGAACTGCAATTTCTGGAACTTCCGGGTGGGGGCTTGGGATGGCCATAAAGTGTGTATGCAAGAAACAAAAATAATCTCACTGGGGATGGCCAAAAAAATCCATACATTGATATTTAAACCTGGAGTCCTGTCTTTTTAATTACATTATTACTATTTCTTTATTTATTTTCTTTCAATTGTGTTGTTCGCTGGGAGGGCCGCCGTTATTGAGCTCGGGGGTAGCTCAACAGGGGGGCGTGTTTGGCCGGGGCTACTTCTGCAGCTAGGTATTATTGGTTTCCTCCCTTGTTTACGGAAGTAGCTGCACTACGAAACAGTAGCTGTATTTTGGAACAGTGGCAGCGTAAGCTGGATGCGTGTGGATCGTGGTGAGTATTCTGATCAGCTGTTAAAAAGCAGATTAGTGATAACTGATATAGGCTATATACAGACAGAGGCGACATTTGGAAGCCTGACGAAAGCTGTAACGTTACCGCGTGCTGTTGGAAAAGAAGCGTGCTTGCCTTCTAAGTGATCTACTGCTGTCGGCGTGGTGTGTATGTGCAGCACGCCCCCTCCCTGCACGCTCAGTATGAATATTCTTTTCTTGGGTTAATAAGGTTTATTACCTTTTGTTTTTTTTAGGACCCGAGGTGTTGTGGTGCTATGACAAAGTGTTTTGAGTCACTGTTGTGACCCCCCCTCTCCCTCCACAACCGAGGAGCGGTTCGACAGAGCGGACCGACCTATCGGGAGCTGTTTGGGCCACCGCTCACTCAGAGCATAACCGAGGATTTTAACCAGGGCTGGTGCTCCTCCGCCAGACATTCTCCCACCCAGCGTGTTGGTTGGAGTGGAAAGGGAGATCTTCTCTCCCCTCTGACGCATGAGGATTTTGGAGCACTATTGTACATTTTAACAGAGTTTATTTTATTGTGGTTTTTAACTTTTGTTTTGTCCAGGCTGGAGCCAAGGGTGGTGGCGGTGGTTCTTCTGTGTGCGAGTTGGTGTGGGCCCCCCTTCACATCTGTGTGACTGTTCACTGGTGCTTTGGGTGATTTTTGGTATTTAGTTTGTGTTGTTGCTAGAACCTCCAGTGGGTCCACCTTACCTTGGTAAGCTCCAGCCTGGTAACACTAATTATTTTCTTTTCCTTGTTTTAATTCTCCCTTTCTATTTTTAAGTTAGTAGTTGAAATTGCTGTCCTTTTAACAAAACACAAAATAAAATTGTGGACTTTGCGTACACCTCGTTTCTGCCGCCTTTCTGAGAGCCAGGGGCGTAGCACCAAATTCTGGGCCCTAGGTACAAGTCTTCTAGGTGGGCCCCCATGCTCAATTACTTAATATCTCTCTTACACATTTTTTGTCATGCTATAAGACAAGATAATAAATATGATCTTAGTTTAACCTCTATATTGAGCAAATACAAATGCCAGCATAATAAAAGTGAAATGCCCAGACTTCACATATAATTATTTTTATTTGCCAACAATGTGTTCAAACAAAAATCCTGGAATTTATTTTCCAGTAAATGCCCACTGACGGGTCTTCATGTTAGCAAAATCACTTATGAGATCTTTAAAGTCCAATCCTTTGGCTAATTGGCTTTCAATAGAAAGAAGAGCTAGGCTGTTCAGTCTATCCTGGGACATTGTTGATCTCAAAAAAATTTTTCACCAGTTTCAGTTTGCTAAAAGCCCGTTCACCCCCAGCAACAGCCACAGGTAGTGTGCAAAAAATCCTCAGTCCAATACAAACCTCTCCAAAAATGCTCTGTAATTGCATCCTGTAGATGGCATTAAGCAACTCAAGAGGAGACCCGAATGTGTGGAAATGTGGCACCATATATTGTTCTCAGGTGTAGCATCTCATTCTCAAATTCAGCTGTGAGATCCTTGTAATATTGTCTCATCAGTGCCTGGCATGATATCTTCATCTGCTCGTCAGTCATGTCTGTCATGGTTCATGATGTTAAGCTTTGCTAATACTGATATGTATTGATATATTAAATACATATGACATGAAATAAACCAGGTTTTCTCTGTGAATGTAATGTACTCTAAATTTTATAATCCCTGCATTATCAGCCAAATTATAAGATTGCCCGTTTTCAAGATCAAATATAAAGAAATTTAAAATAGGCTTAAAATATCTAACCAAGTCAATAACAATCCTCTAACACCAGTGTCATCACGCTATATGAAAAACAGTGGCAGCTTCTCATTCCTGAGATTACCACGAATCCATCGATACCAAGTTTGTCCTGGTCCATGACTGGGAAGGAGCTGAAATATCCACACAGAGTGAACCTGTTTTTACTGCGAGGTTCGCAAATTAATTGGCGGCGGCCGCCCGCGATAATAATTCTGATTAATATATATATATATTAATTAGTGTTTTCACTGATAACACTAATTAATTTATATTTGATCTTGATGGTGAAACTAAAGGCGTTTAACACTGAACAGCTAACATGAATGCAGCTTCTGAGAGCTAGCTAATATCAGCTAAAACTGTGTTCTGCTGCTGCTCACCTTCCTTCTTGAAAAACCTAGTCAATACTTGCTTCTGTTCAATTAACTTTTTCTCCTTCTCCTTCTTTTCTTTTTCTGGAAGCCAGATTTCCCTTTCTTGGGAAAAGACATGACTGATTCTCCTGCCTCCAGCTCTGGCTGTCGGCATCTGCGATATCTCATAAGCTGTACATGCGGCCGTGCAGCCCCTGGCCGCTGGTGTGGACTAAACCACTTTGCACATTTTTAAGGGGTGATAGATGCCTCAGAGATTATTCAGTTATTATTTTTAAGGCGAAATTCTGTTTCTTAACCTCTTTGTCCAGGTAAAGGGAAGTTTATTAAGACATTAAGTAAGTTGGGGGAAAAAACAACAACAATAAAACATTTTTATTCAAAGCTGTCTCAGGGCCCCTCCCTGCAGTGGGCCCTGGGTAAACGGTACCCTCCCCCCCCCCCCCCCCCCCCCCCCCCCAGTCCAACGCCCCTGCTGAGAGCATTGAACCTATGTGTGCCTAAAGGTACCAATTTTATTTTCCTTGGGTGAAATTCCAAAGGTGGCGTTGTTTTAATCTTTTAACTTAACATACTGTTTAATACAAGCAAACCCATACCACCTCTGCCACCACACTTACATAGGATTTTTTTTCTGATTGGCTTAACGAACTGACCTGTATTGGAATGTTTACTGTGTGAAGTGCCTTCAGACGACTCTTGTCGTGATTTGGCGCTTCATAAATAAACTGAAATGAATTTTATCATGACCAAATCATCTTGGGACGCATTTCCTGTTCCTTTTGAGCGCAGCAATCTGTACTAAATACCTTCACTAAAACAATTAGGTTATGGGTCAGAAGTATAACAAAATGTAGTGTACTTGTTTTTTTGGGGCTTTTGACGAAACCGTTAAAAAAAACATTACGACAAATGTTTTGTCTGAAAACCACCAGAGGAAGTTATGTGTGAGAGCCAGGTGTTTTATTCTGCTCCAGCAGGTGGCGGAAGTGCACCTTTACGCTGGTCACCGACCACCGGAAGTAGCAGAAACCAGAAGCTGCTAGCAGAGCTAGCTTGTTGTTGTTCTGGTGTGTGAGGAGAATATTTGAGGCTCTGCAGTAAAAATGTCTTCACTTCAGTCTCTGGGAGAGTTGATCAGCTAAAGCGACTAACTGCTGCTGCTGCAGAAATCTCACCAGGCTGTGGAAACTTTCTTCTCCTCCTCAACAACTTGGTGGAGTTCTTTCCAGAACCAGAGAAGATATTCTGCGGTCTTCGTGACAATCGGAGCTCCAGAATCAGGTTGTGGGTCAGAACATCTTTTCTCTAGACTTCCTGCCCTCTGGATCTGCTGCTGTTCCTTTGGCCGGAACCAAAGCCTTGGATCTTTAATCTCCTGCGTTGTTTTGAAGCGGCATCTTAATCAGCTCTCCTGCAGCTGGAACTGATTCATCGTGTGTTCTTCACCACCTGGACCTGGACAGCATGGACACAGGTACTGGTGAATGAATGAGTGAATATATTGTCAGTATATTGTAACCCTGGCGTCAGATTAAGTTACCACTTATTGAAAAAGTAATAATAAATAGGCCAGACTCTAGGTCCAACAGGATTACCTTACAAATTACCAGTGAGTGGGAAATGGAATAGCTGGATCCAAAGAATGAGCAAAAAAACAGAGTTGCACCAGATTTGGAATTTTATATAGATATATGAAAATAGAACAAAAAATACAGCAGCTGCAAAAGACATATAATTAAACAATTGGGCCTTTCCCCCTATATCAGTAAACCTAGTCGGGTTGAGTTCAAAGTCAGTCTTTTTGGTCGTAGTCTAGTCAAAAAGAAAGTCTCCTCGGTCTTGTAAAACTCAGGTTCAGTGGTCTGAGTGGTTACCACTGGAATGTTTGCTCAGTATAGAAGAATGATGTTCTCCTGATCGGGATTCAGTTCAGTTCGGGCACAGGCTCACCATCTCCATCCGGAGAGAATCCAGGACTCCAATCCACTTCAGTCCCGTACCGAGCATAAAAACCTAGCCTGCGCAACAATAATGCAATTATTGTATACAGCTAAATAAAATTCTCATCTCTTATTCTCACAGCTATAGCGTTTACAATCTTTTCCAATCTTTTCTTTCTTCATCCTTCAAATTACCATAGTAACAATTTACATGCATGTACATTTCTTTTCTCAAAATACATTTTGGCAATGCATGAAACATGTTTAACAAAACTAATAGTTTGAATCTTTTTTTTCCCAGTTTTTAACCAGTTTTTTTAAAACAAGGATTATGATTAGCGTGTAACCATAGAATAATACAAAAATTACACAATAACAATATGATAATCAACAAAACTGCCATTTAAAATCCACAATATTCACATTCATTTGGAAAAATAAAACAAAAATAATTATTTGTTCCCTTCTGTTAGCAGATTTACCATTAACATCCATTAAAATGAACTCAATTAGTCAATTAGTTTTAGTTAGCAGGTTGCTAGCAGAGCTTAGCGAGCACATGGGGTTAACTCACCGAGATGAGGTATTAGCGTGCTTGAAGCGTCAGCACAGCCACCTGGTCTCTCTAGCGTGGGCTCCACGCAACCCACTATAACACATAACCTAAATTAGCCATCTAGAAAACACAAATACTCTTAAACTTCTGTTCTGTATAGCAACTCACCCAATAAAAGGTATGTATGGCTTGACTCAATCTCCTGAAATATGGTTCAGTGCGGCTCCTCTGCAATCTTCCTCCAGCTCTTCAAGGAGCAAAATACGGCGCCTGAGTCGTTCACCTTGTAGGAAGGCGGGAATAACGCCACTCTCAACAAATGAGAGGGCAAGTTTAACTCGACGGGAGCACCAACCGGAATCAGGAACGAACTAAGGAATTACACTTCAGTCATTTCAAACTAAAAATATTTTCCGAAATGAAAGCATGGAAGTAAGCTGATACAAAAAATAAAATAAAATTAAGGCGTTTTATCTACTGGGTTACATTATGGTGGGACATTACAGTGAAATTATGAGAATGAGGTTCAATCTTTAAAATAATGATCTGTATATGTTTAGCACTACTGGAGTTCTAAAACCCCCCAAAGCGTTTTACATCACAGTCATTCACTCATTCACAGACTGTTGTAGAACCTTGAAGTTTTAGAGTGAATAGATCTCTCCAATGAATGATTTTTGAAGCCAAGTATAGTGGTCAGGTGACTCATTTTGATCCAAAGAATTTTTTTGTTTTGAGGGGAGTTAAAGTCCCAAAGTCATCGTCACACACTGGTGAAGTTACGTCCTGCATTTGACCCGTCCCCATGGGGAGCGGTGAGATTAAGTTGTGGGAACTATTTGGTCTTCTGTCGGGTTTCAGTCACTACGAGAATCAGTCAGAGACAGGAGAGGTTTTCATCTTGTTCACAACCTACCTTTGTTGTAGCATCAGTCACACATCATCATTTGACCAATCATAGTTGGGGAGACAGCATGCTGCAGACACGACAGCAGCGGCGCTGACAGCACGTACGACTGCTGTTGCTTCAGCATGTCGCTGTGGTTTGGAGCTTAAAGGCCCAGTGTGTAAAAACATTCTACTCTTTAGCGCCACGCAGTTCAGAGTAAGTATTGCAGCTCCGGTAGCCCACACTAGGGTTGGGCTGTTTTTCCATTCGTCCATCATTAGTCCAATAAATGACGATGGGCCGTGGCTTGTGCATGTAAGGTATGATTCACTGACTGATTTGTGAACACAGGAGAAGTCTAAAAATTGATTATTTTATGGATGCACGCCACAAATTAGAATTTTCTTTTTGTTTAACTCATTCACTGCCAGCCGTTTCCTGATCAGAAAAGCTCTTCGCTGCCAGCGTTTTTCAGCATTTTTACAGTTTTTTTAAGAGTCACTGAACGTTGCTCTATGATGATGTCAACGCCAAAACTACCAAAACAAAGTGGAGACTCACCTCTTACATCAGGAAGAATCCGCGCGTTTCGAGCGTTATTCGTTCTTTCATATCCGTTGTGGAATTGTGATTGGTAGAAGCTTTTCCGGTTCTCGCCTCACTTTTTTTTACAGCAGTGGCCCAAATCGATCTCCTAACACATAGCTTTTCTGCTTCCTGATCATGTGACGTGTAGGGATGGGTACCGAATTCGGTACTTTTTAAGCACCGATTCACGTCATTTCAAACGGTGCCTCGTTTCGGTACCCGTCCATCATAACGAGAACTTGCCAAGACAGCTGCGCATGCGCAAGAGCGTTATGTTGTCGCTCGCTGCGAACCAGTTGTAAACAGAGCAGCATGGTAGAAAGAACGCAGGCTAAAGCTTGGGTCCACTTCATTAAATGTGATGGGTAACTGGATGATGATGATGAAACCAGCGACAACGATCTAAGTGAGACATCCTCATCTTAATCTGCTCTGGTAGGTAAATATAATTAGCTTGATATGTTAGCTTCCGTTTCGCTAATGGTGCGTTCGCTTTCTCCTCGGAAATTCTAACTTCCCAGTAGGAAAAATCAAATGAACAAAGACAGCAAAAGGAATGAAGATACACAGTAAATTTATTTAATAGTAAAGATGTTTGCTTTAGTTTAATTATCAGCTTATAAAACTACAAGAACGATGTTAAAATACAAACAGTTGTATGTTATTTATCGTGATATATATCAAATATTGTTATATATTGAGAAAAATATATATTTAATTATAAAAGAGAATTAATATAATAAACACCCAAAAGTATTGAAAATTGGTACCGTTAAGTACCGGTATCGATTCGTAGGTACCGGGCGGGAATTAGTACCGGATCGATTCAAATGTCAAAGGTACCCATTCCTAGTGACGTGTAACGTATGCGGATGAAGATCGGCTTTAGAGCTGGGATGTTTGTTCTCACGGTGCGAGGGCTCGTTGCGACGCCGACACAGTAAAAAATTGACAGTTAAAGAGTTGTTAAAGTGCTGAAAGGAAGTAGGGCTGAAACGAATCATCAAATGGTTCGATTCATTAAGTACCTTGATTCATTTTTTTACTGATTCAAAGCTTCGTTAAACGTGCGCTCCACAGTCTGAACACATTTTTCTGGAGCTCTACGTGGTGATTTCTGTGCTGTGGCAGAAAAAAGAGAAACCAGCAACGACGGAATCCATTGTTAGAGGCAGAAACAGTGGCCTTTTATTGTGGGCAGTATAAGGTACACCTGTGCACTACTCATGATGTTGGATCAGCATCTTGATGTGGCACACCTGTGAGGTAGGATGGATTATCTCAGCAAAGCAGAAGTGCTCATTATCACACATTTAGACTGATTTGTGAACAATGTTTGAGAGAAATGGTAATATTGTGTATCTGGAATGAATTTTAGATCTTTAAGTCCATCTCATGAAAAACTGGAGCAGAAACAAAGGTGTTGCATATATATATATATATATATATATATATATATATATATATATATATATATATATATATGTATATAACACTAAATCTCCCAAAATGCTTATTAGTAAGATTCCTTCGCTTTGTAATGCTCTAGCCTGCTGAGAGCTTAAAAGTTAAGGATTGTTACTGACAGCAGCTACATCTAAGTGTTTATTCATTTTCCTTTTGACTGAATAGTTGCTGATTTTATCTCGGAGACGTTTCTCCTCACATAAGCTTCAGATCTAAAGCTTGGGTTGTGAGTAGGAGGCTTAGAAGTTATGGTCGGAAACAAACACGCTGATTGGGATGGAAGTTTTTATTGTTCCTAAAGTAGAAATATGTTTTTATCTAAATTAAGTTCATGTTCTTGTTCCTTTTTCCCACATCATGTAGCCAGTATCACTCATGGTGTAAATATAAAGGTATGGTGGTCTGTAACATCATGTGTCTGTGTTTCCTACAGATGTTCCACAGCTGGTGCTGGTTAAAGCAGAAGCTCCTGAAGAACAGAGTGCTGGTGTGGACCAGCTGGACTCAGAACACCTCCACATAAAGGAGGAACAGGAGGAGCTCTGGACCAGTCTGGAGGGAGAGCATCTCTGTTTGAAGGAGGAGACTGAAGCTGTCGGGTTTCCTGTTACTGCTGTTTCTATAAAGAGTGAGGATGATGAAGAGAAACCTCTGGTCTCACAGCTTCATCAGCAGCAAATAGAAGACAGAGATGCTCCAACCAGCAGCTCAGCTGACCAGATGGCAGCAGAAAATGGTGGAGGAGCAGGAACTAGCAGGAACCCAGATCTGAACCCTCATGAACAAACGTCTGATTCTTCAGAGACTGAAGTTAGTGGAGATGACGAAGATGATGTTGATGATGGTGTGAATCTGGACTCTGAGCTGTCAGACTCTGGGTCTGAAACTGGAGACGAGGATGATGACTGGAATGAGAGCAGGTCTTCTGAGTCAGATGGTAAGTCTGTCAAGTTCTTCACAAGTGGTCTCTCCAGAGACACGTGAGGGAGACAAGTCATCCAGCAATAAGGTCTTCAGACTGTTTGGTTAATAAGAAATGTGTTAGAGTGAAGCAACATGTAGACTCGTGCAGGAAAGTCCAGAAGAAACCTAAATCATTTAGTCATGATGACTGTGGAGAAAGGTTTACTACAAATGTAAATAAACAAATCACATGAGAGTCCACACATAGCAGCTGCTGTTCCAGAGTAAGGAACTCTGCTTCTGGCCGCTAACAAGATGGCGCCTGTGTTTGGAATAGCCACAGGTCTGTTTCCACATTCCCGCCTGGCCACGGGGCAGCGCTGTGTCTCCGTCCATGTTTCCTCGGGTCTGTTTATCCTGGTCCTTCAGTGGTTTCCCTTCCTGTTCCCTCCATGAGTGGACTTAGGGATTTTATCAATAGCCCAATACCTGCAGCTGGAGAGAGAGGAGAGACAGCAAGCAGACAAGTCACCAAATTGCAATCAGGGGCAGAAGCTCAAGGCAACTGCCCCGAGTTTCTGCTCTGAGTTTATTTATAACAAAGATAAGACAGTGTGTGTGTGTGGGAATGCTTTCAGGCATAGAATACATTTAGTTAATATTAAACATAACATTTCCATAACATAATCCCTCCTGTTTATCCAAATAACCAAACAAAAAGAAAACAAAGAACAACTAAAATAATAAAACACGATAAGGCAAACACAATTGACAATAACAAACAGCAGTTTACAGAGACACAAGTGAGATAATGGAAATCAGTTAAATCAACACCATCATAAACTAAAGAAGAGCTATTTCATACATAGTGATGTGAATTTACTGTGATGCAACAATTCTACAATTTAGAGCAGTTCCTGTAAAGAGATTGGGAAGGATCGGAAAGACCATATAATATACAGAAAACATCAGTAGAGTTTATTGAAACATCAGATGAATTTAAAGCTGCAGGTCGCACACGGCTGTTTCTGTGAATGAGGAGCAGGTAGTATCAATTCATGCAGCTCTAACTATGGCAGAAGCTGAGGCAATCCAGGCGTTCTTCATCAAAGGGCTTGTCCGTGGACTGAGAGTCCCGGTTGAAGAACGGTTTGGAACGGTTAGAGTCCTCGTCCGTTGATCAGGATGGTTTCAGTCTTAAGTTGATGAGTTCCTTGAAGTCCAGGTCTGGAATGCAAAAATGGAGTTTGGGATGTGAGAGAGCACAGTTCAACTTCTCAGTAGGGAGACGTCTGGGTCCTTCCATGGCGTGTTGAGGTGGTTGTCCACCTGTCAGGGAGCTGATCTTGTCCCCGAAAGTCCTTCTGAACCTTTGACCGTGAAACCAGGTTGGAGATTGGGTGCAGGTGATTGAAGTAGTTCTCCTTTTCCAGCGTCTCTTCTTCGCTGTGTCCTGTCGTAGTTGCGTCCAGGGGGTCTTCAGCCGAGGTGGGCGCAGGTTACGTTGTCATGTAATAATAATGTTCATGATAATAAATCTCACAACACAAAGTTGTGATTTTTTTTTTTTGCTTTCCTGAAATATTTAGTGTTTAGAGCTTTTAATAGTTTAAATCTGTTAGATTGTTACTGATAGCAGCTACGTTTAAGTGTTTCAGTTTTCCTTTTGACTTGTGATGAGTCGTGCTTCAGCATGTAGGTGTAGATTCTCAGTCATCCTGGACACCATCAACCTAAGAGATTTAATGAAAACATCTGGACGTTTCTGGTTATTAACTCTCATCCAAGAGACGTTTTCAGCTCTAAACCTTGGGTTGTGAGCAGGCTAAATAATACATTTATTTAGTCTGGCTTGCCAGGCTACTATTTGCCCTTAGCAGTGGTTAATTAAAGTATACAAGCTGAGATAAAGCTACATTTACCTGCAGCTGCAGCTCTTTCTAAACATTTAATCACAACAAACTCAGAGCAGCTGCACTTATGACCCACAACAATAACCTTTTAGGGATGGTTACAGTATTTGGGAATATTGGAATATTTTCAGATGTTTCCATGTTTGCTGTTCTGAGTGTTACGGGCCCTGAGCAAGACTCACTAGGAGTGGTGGACCCGCAACATAATCAAGACGAGACCATCTTAAAATGATGAAAATAAACTTGATCTGGAACTCCTTGACTCTGCGCCTACAGGTGGGATGCTCCAACAGGCCTGTAGGGGCGATGACAAAACACAAAGTGAGAGGATTTAATCCACTATCTCAAATAATAATATCCACTTAGGGAAAAAAAAACTGTCTTTTTTCAACAATTATCGTAAAGTATATTTAACCCTATTTGGGAGTAAAATCACTAAGGTGGTTTGATAACACACAAAAGGCGTTGCAGCCTGAATCTCTTAGGCCCTACTCCCAACCAAAGCCAGTGAACTCAAAATACAAAAAGTGAGTGGGTACTCAACAAGTATTAATTAATCATTAACCCTCTGGGGTCCATGGACGCGTATCGGCGTCTTTTGAACAGGTCTGATTTGGGACGCTGTAGCAGCAAGACTCCGCCTCCCTGAGTTTCGGTTTCAATTCAGCTTTAAAAAGGAGATTATAAACTACACCCCAGTTTTTAAATTTTGTTAACAGGCAACGTAAAAGCGGAGTTATACTAAACTAAAAAACGACCTATTTTTAGACAATCTGTGAGAGGGAATGTGCTTGTGAACATGAAAAAATCCCACAACAACATGATATCCTTCTGCTGTTGGTGGAAGTCTCACATATTCAATTGATAAAAAGTATCATTATGTAGCTGAGAGAGAGAGAGAGAGGAAGGCTGCACGAGTAATGGGCTCGACACACGGGAGGCGACATCGCCTCTCCTCCATTCATTTTCAATGAGACATGCGCGACAAAGCGATAATCGCGGGTCTCCCTCCTACCAAGCGAAACGCGAAAAACGTGCGTGTGAAAGTTTGCACTTGTGCACGTGTCGTGCACGGACGACCCAGCGACGCGATCCCAGAAAGTTGAAACATTTTCAACTTTTCATCGCTGTCGCTCGGACGAGGACCAATCAACGGAGGTTTCATTCACTGACCAATGAGCGGTCAGGATGCTCCGTAAACCTCCGAGCAAACATGAAGGAGAAGTTGATTATTATTATGTTCTATATAGTAAAATCAGAAGTAAGATTTCACATAACTCTAGCAGCACCTTGTGAAACATCATATCTACCACTTTATTAACTCTGAACCGACATCGTGCGTCGAGCCCATTATGGGCTGACACACGGGAGGCGACTAACGACCGCGATCAGCGAAATTTGTCGCCGTCGCTTTTATTACCTGACACACGGGAGGCGATCCACGGCAGAAATGACAAACCTTTATCCCTCAAAATTGTCAATGGTAAAAAGTTACACACAATCCTTTCAAACAACAACAAATTTATTTGAAGTGCTTTTATAAATTAGTTTCTGAGATACACTCATTTAAATAAACTATTTGTAGCTAATTTTTTAGGAGTATAAAGTTTTCCTAATCTCTTACTAATAATAATAGCAATAATAAAGATTATTGCATTAATATATATGTGAGGAAACAGAAACTGAAACTTAATCACCCAGCGCTGCAATGGCGTCAACTGCTTCGAGGAGGGAGGATGCACCATTTGGTAGGTCCATGATATGTCTAAACGTTTGTAATGGTGTGAGTGTGTTGTGAGTTTGTAGTAGGTGTGTGATGTGTGTAGGATGTGTTTGTCTAAATGTATTATTGCAAAAAAGCACATCGCTCTGGGACATGTTTAGCGTGTGAGATATTAGTGTAAATCCTCCGGTTTAATATGCAAAAAATAAATAAATAATATAATTTCAATTCTACAAGCATTTGAACACAGATATGCAAATGGGAGGGCCGGCGCTCCCGCCGGTCTCAAAGGGCTAAGATATTCAGTGGTACTGGAACTGCTTAAACATTTGAATTCTACTACTAAATTGGAATGGTGACATATCTATTATGTACAGGTTATCAATAATATGTTTTAAATAATTTTTGAAAATAGACATGGTTGCGAATTAAATGCTACAGTGGCTTGCCATGTTCCTGCACACTGCATTGAGCAGACTTGAAGCAGCAACCTGACTTTGGCGGTTCTGATGCATAGCACTGCCGACAGCTAAGAATAAACAGCGCTTGTGTGTGTGTGTATATATATATTAGTGGTGGGCATAGATTAATTTTTTTAATCTAGATTAATCTCACTGTAATCTTGGAATTAATCTAGATTAATCTAGATTAAAATGGCTCATTCAAATTCTGCCAAAGGCATATGTGTGTGCTACCTAGATAATGAATAAAAGCAAGTCTTTGAGAATGGAGGCGTATTTCTTGTTTCAATAATGCATCACAGACTGATAAAGCAGTTTTACTACTATAACTGATGATGAAAACAAATAATGATCAATAAGTAATTGTGTTTAATAGCTGTTTATTCAGTTCAACAAATTCTGCACTGTAGGTCTACAGAATATGTCATGATTAACTATTAACAGTCAGTAGCATCTGGTCAATCAGTCCAAGCTCTATTTTTCCTTCTTCCACCAGTCACTTAAGCAGACCAGCTTGTTCACACTGGCTGTGTCCGAATCCAGAGGAAGGATGCTTGTGAGTACGGGTCCTCGCCGGTCTAGCAAGGCCGGGTCCTTGCAAGACCGCTAAAACCGGAAGTCAGCGGCTCTGAATTCGGACAGTACTAGCCTCGTTTTTATTCCCGCCCCCAGGTCAAGTTGCCTAGCTACCGTGATGGCGGCAAACAGGCTAACAAGCTAACAAGCTAGTAGCGACGTTGAAAATGGATCCACAGCAATATTTCATTTTATTTGTGGTTTTTGAGGAGCTGCGACGGCTCAATAAACGTCACCGGCCTTTGTATTTAAAGTTTAAAAATCATTTAGTCCTGTTATCTGCTAGAATTACAAGTATTATACTCATGATCTCCTTTTTTGCATATATCTGAATGTTAGTGATGTGACAGCCGTCGATTGA